GTCACCCCCACAACTGAAATGAAGATGCTGTTGTTCGTTCACACAAGAAGAACGCCAAACTTTAAGTCTGAAATTGGGATGATTTTTCATTTAGGAACATGTTTAGGCTGGTTAGTGGCAAGGACAAAAGTGGTCTTTTAAGTACTTATCATATTCTCTTTAAAACCTAGACTTCTCCTATATTACCAGCCGACTTCCTCTTTCCAAGAATGTTATCTAACTTTTTAGATCTACTTGAAAAGGTAAGAAGCTGAGATTTAGAATGTTCATATTACTCAAAAGATTTTTAACCTGGATTTCTAAAGTCTCATTCTCAAAGGTCAACTCACTGACTTTCCTAGAGGACTTCTCAAGCTCATTAGCGAGATTTTTAACCAGAGTATCTGAAGATTTATTCATCCATTTCAATTCACTCAGGGTTGATGTTGATTCCTGGGTGTACTTCAAAAGCTTATATTTCTCCAATTTAAGCTCATTTTTACCTTTGAATTTAAGGCTTTATTAGTTACAAGAATCTTAAGACTTTCCTCATATATTTTATCGTAAGCCTCGTGGATATCTTCCTTACTTTTAGAATCTTCTCCAAATTGGTCACCACTATCTATGTCCTCATCCGTCTCAATTTCCCTGTCAGATCACTCCTAGTCCTAGTGGTAAATGCAACGTATTTTCCATTTTCCTCACGAATAGATTCCCACTCTGATTATCCGAGCTAGACTCATCATCAGTGAGAGTAGTAGTCATAGTCTTATCCTGATTTGTACTTCTGGTAGGGTACCCATTCCTCATATGCCCAAGATCGTGACACTTGTGACACCTCACAGGTTTATATCTATTCCTAGATTCACTGGAGCACCTCTATACTTCTGTGGAAACTTTTTCTTCTTCCTAAACATTTTATGAAATTTTTTAGCAAGGTAGGCTAACTCTCCCTCATTTGGTGAATCTGAGTAAGAAATTCCATCATGGTAACCCCAAGAAGTTTTTTTAAGGCCACGAACTTATCTTTTGTAGGTTTATCCAAGGTCAGCTCATAAGTCTGAAGGGATTCAACTAATTCTTCCACCTTAATAGAGTCTAAATCCTTACTCTCCTATATTGTCGTATCTTTAGGCCTAAATTGCTTAGGTAAGGATCTAAGATTTTTCTAACTATTTTAGACTCTGAGATTCTCTTACCTAGATTGAAGCTAGATTTACCATGTCATTTAGGCTCACATAAAAGACCTTAAAGTTCTCATCATCTCTCATTCTAACCTCCTCAAACCTAATGGTCAGCATCTGCAACTTAGAATTTTTAATGGCATGAGTTACCTCATGTGTAGCCTGTAATCTGTCCCAAACATCTTTCACAACCTCACACACAAATATTTACCTAAAATTTTCAGGGAAAATTGTCATAAATAATGTATGTAGCGCTTTACTATTCCAGTTGCACTCATCTGAGTTAGATTTTCACCACTTAGCAATGGAAGTGGGGGTGACAACACCATTAACAGTGCTAGAGGGAGTAGATCAACCATTTTGAATGCTCAACCATAAACGCTTATCTATCGACTTAAGGAAAGCTCTCATCCTAACATTTCGGTATGCATAATTATTGCCATCAAAATAAGGCGGGACAAATAATGAGCTACTCATTTGGATAAATTAAGGCCAGGACATGTTTTTAGGCTCTAATACCACTTGAAAAAGCCTCCAGAACGCTAAGTTACCACTTGTGAAATACTGAAATGATCTAGTTTGTCAAATTACACATTCTAGATTGTTTATTAGTTCGATGTTACATGCAGAATTAACCTATTAAAAGCAATAAGTCACTTTTTAATAGTTTCTAGATGATTAAGCATACAGGTCCAATTCCCTATATTTGAATACCGCAATTTATAGTATGGAAACAATAAATAATACCAATATTGTGGACGAAGAAACTCAACTAGGTAAAAACTCCAGGACCAAGCCAATTATATCCACTATAGACAATGAATGTTACAGTTAGATGTTGTCTATCCAACTCAACTAGACTTCTCGATCTACTTCCTATAATCTCGATAATACTGCTATCTCTTTTAGCTTCTCGATATTGTACAATTATCTCTTCCAAGTGGATGCCCATGAATCATCAATTATTGTTCTTATTCCCGCACTTATAGTCCAACCTTCTTCAATCTTCAGTAGCCTCTAGATTTCCAATTGAGAAAGTACTTTCTTGTTGCACAAAAGAAGTGAATGTTTTGGATTCAAGGATTTGATGTTTTCCCAAATATGTGGTTGCAAGATCTCAAGAATCAAAGGATTGAATCAAAGTTTGAACAAGCTCTTGGATTACCAAATGATTGAAATGAAAATGATATGCGTATGAGGCACAATGAAAAACCACCTTAGAAAATCGTGAAAGGCTTGGGTATTTATATTTAGGGATGTTTAAGTATTATAGGTCGTATAAAACTTTTCAAAATCACAAACTACGGTTGGCCGAATAATACTGTCGCTTGAGCGAAGGAGCATTGCCGCTCGAGTGAAGCAGTAGCAGCAAGTGAGAAAGAGGCAATATGTTTTTCTTGCTCGAGCATTGTCTTTGCAATAGGCAAGTGAAAAAGCAGTATGCCTTCTTTCTTGTTCCAAACTCGATCTCTAACTCTAAGCTACTTTATCGAACTATACATTGTTGCTCCTAACTCCTTGACTTTTACACATATTCAATTACTTTTTTGTTCACAGAATCACCAATTACAACATAAAACTTAACTGAAAGAAATGATGAAAATGGACTTTAAGCCTTATATCCAGTGAATGCTTACAAATAGCTATAAAGTCATGAGGATGGCAGTCCACATTTTGAAACTGACAAGAGCACAATAGTTCTATATCATAACGGATGTTAAAATGATCCTCTTTCACCGAGATCCCTCTTAGTAAGATTGATGAAAATTTTGAGTCTTCAAAACCTCATTATCACTAACATTAAGTCCATCTAACTCACTGGAAGGTTTACGCAGAGCCGGTCCTGTGTTTGATGGGCCCTGAGGCGGATGATGAAAATTAGGCCCACCAGCGACAAAATTCAAAGGTGTATTATGCGACTCATTGCTAACTTAAAAAAACTAACATTAAAACAACAACGAAATATATCATAGAAACGATTTATATTATAAACCATCAAACCAAAAATTTCAAATAATTAGTTAAATACTATTTGTCTTGCTGTTTTAGAGGCAAAAACATCAATCAAATCTGAATAACTTAGCTGCTCAACCATTTCTTTTTCTATTGATAACATAGCCAACCCATTTAATCTTTCTTGTGACATAGTTGATCGGAGATAGGTCTTGATCAACTTCAATTTGGAGAAACTTCTTTCCGTAGATGCAACTGTAATCGGTACAGTTAACAAAATTTTGTAAGCAATATAAGCATTTGGGAAACAAACATCCAATGTCTTCAAATAGTGTAGCACTTCAATTGCTCTTGTTGTTTCATTTGGTAAATAAATCTTCAAGACTTGTAACTCCGAACATAAATCATCTCCACTGATGTCCGAAAGCCCATTATGTTCAAGATATTTCTCAAGATTCATACAAGATTTCAACAAACTTGATAAAGTTGCACTCCTTAACCTCTTCAAATTAAACAAAAATCCAAATATACCATCATATTGTTTGAATTGCTCAAATCGAGTCCTCGGAGAAGATAGAGCTTGATCAATTATAAAAACAAAGTACTCAACTTTAAATGATTCTTCTGCTGATTGCTTCACCTCATTACTACAGTTTTCATCAAATTGCTTTTTTCTTCGAATTATGCGTTTTTCTGTAAATACAGCTTCAATTTCCATTTCGTTTGCCTTTTTTGTCGCTTCATCCATGGCAATGGCAAATCCAGATTCTCTATAATCTTCAAGAAATGAAACAAGTCCTTGCAATAGGTCGATAGCATGATCAATATCCATGGATTCAGTTTGAAGAAATTTACTCACAATATTGACTGCATGCAACAACCTGTACCAGATTACCATGCCAAGCAAGAACTCAAAATTCTGAAGTTCATGTGTTGCCAACGACTCGGCTTCACTCTTTACTTTAGGATCTTCGTTAGTTTCTGCCAAATCAAGTAATGCTTCTCTTATCTGTGCAGTTTGCTCCATTATAGACTTCACACTCTCAACATGACTTTCCCAACGTGTTTGTGACAACGGCTTCACTGTCAACCCTTTTACATTATCTTTAAAAATTTGCCATCGCTTGGTAGAAGATGAAAACAAAGTGTAGATGCGTTGTATCACTCCAAAGAAGGATACAGCTTTGGAACAACAATTCACCATATCACATAACGCTAGATTTAGACTATGAGCACCACATGGAGTATAGAAAGCTCGGGGATTTATTTCATGTACTCTTCTTTGCACACATTTGTGCTTCCCACTCATGTTAGATCTGTTATCATACCCTTGCCCTCTAATGTCATTAATATCCAAATCGAGTTTGATCAAAGCCTTTTGAAGCTCGGTTGTAAGTCCAAGTCCCGTTGTGTCATCTACCTTCAAAAATTCAAGCCAATGTTCTTCAACTATAGGTAAGTTTGCCGAATCATCTACAAATCGTACTATTAACAACATCTGCTCCTCCTGATTTGCATCTGGAGTACAATCAAGTATAACTGCAAAATATTTTGCATGTTTAATTTTCTTGACAATTGAACTTCTCACCTCATTAGCTAACAACTGTATCAACTCATTTTGGATTTTTTTGCCAAGATACATATATTGAATCTCTTTTGCATTAGCCCGCCGAAGATGCTCTTTCATTATTGGATCAAATTCACTAATCATTTCAACCATTTGTAAAAACAGACCATTGTTCTCAACATTTAGCCTCTCATCATCTCCTCGAAATGGCAAGGTGTTTTTGGCGAGTCTTTTTACAATAGCGATTATCCTTGTTAATACATGCCTCCAATGTTCTCTTTCTGCATCGATCAACAATCCAACGCTTTTATCAATTGTAGTTTTTGTTCGAAACCTATTTTCCAATTCAATCTAGCTAGTCATGCAACATAAATGCTCTTCATTTCCTTCATGACTTTTAATAGATCGATGCAAATTATGCCAATCTTTGAATCCATCGTTACCAAGTTGGCCAACTCTGGTAACATTTTTGGGTGTTTTAAATAACTTGCAACAAAAGCAAAAGATCATGTCCATAGATATTGAATATACTAGCCATCTTCTATCAATTATTTGCCCATTTCGTAGCAATCGCTTATATTGTGAAGAATCAAAATGCCTATTTGTACAATCTTTGGGAAACGAGATGTCATCAACTCTTTTTGGACCCCTTTCAACTAAGTAATCCCTTGTTCTCTGATCAATGATTTTCCAATTCCCGGGATCATCCAAATTTAGAGAAAAGCAACCCTCTTCTTCCTTGTCATCTACTTCATTAACACATGCAGGTTTTATCACCTCTTCTTCCATATCATCTACTACATTAACGTAGGCAGGTTGACTAACTTCTTCATCTTTATCATCTACTTCATTAACACACGCAGGTTGAATCTCTACTTCATCCTCATTCAACGTATTCACATTGTTGCTTTTAAAGTACTTGCCAATATCCCCTGCTTGACTTTGAATTAATGAAATTTCATTTCGTTTCCTTTTTCTCTTTTGAGTACCAGATTCATATTTAGGAGGCATGGTGTATGAGTCTATATCTGATGCCCAATGATTAACCTAAAAAATAATTACAAAATATCTCAAATCATCACACAATTAGAGTTTTCAATATAGTTATTATGTGCGCTTGTGCAATTGTTGATCCTCTAATAATCAATCATATAAGCCGACCAGGCCACAATCATATAAGCCGACAAGGCTTCAAACATTTTTAATTTCTTCAATAACAAGTTAAGGTAAGCCATTGCTTACCTGACAAGTAGAATTTCGATGAAACTGCGGAGTTACACCTTCAAGAATTCCACTGTCACAAGACTCACAACTCCCAACCCTGAAACAAAAATTTCACATCAAACGCTATTACAAATATTAACATGATCATCAAATTACACACTAATACAAATATGAACATGATAGAAATGTTGATCTCCATATTCAAATAAATATTATCAATCATCTCACAATTAAAGTCATCGTTCAATGGTTAATTGATTATTGTCTCCGTTGCTTAAACGTATAATGTATGAAATCAATGCAGGCTTCTGGTTTCGTCTGGTTTTCACATTGTCGTTCGTCTTTTCATTAAATTTAACGAAATAATTTTTTATTACATCACTTTAGATCACTTACAAATACTTGTTACCAGATCGTCTTCAAATTAATTATGCACTTTAAGCTTAAAACTAGAAAATGGTATGAACGAGACACACGTTAATATAGGCACCACATTCTAAATGTATTTAGAGCTCTTAATTTTTGCTTATTATTGCACTCATACTCCTAATAATTTTTTATGGCATTTTTATCCTTAAACTTTTCATTAGTTAATAAATTAAGTATTTGATAACAATTTATGTTCTAGAGTTTGTTGAGATGATGTAAAATTACTTGTTTTTTTCATAATATATTTTCTTAAAAATAAGTAAAAAATGTTTAAAAAAAATATTATTCCCCCATCTTAAAATATCAAAATAAAATATTTTGATATAGGTCATCATAAATGATGAGACATACAGATTAATAATAGGTTAAAGAAAGATTTCAAAGAAAAATTCGAGAAAATAATTATTACAATGAAGGAGTTTAATTAAAATTAAAATATATTGAATCAAAGACGACAATTTAACCACCCTTATTAATATTTCATTCTACCTCCCGCTTCTTTTAATTTTAGAGATTTATTTTCTCCTTTTGGCAATAATTTTTCTTACATATAAAATGAAACTTCCATATTTAACTACTATTTATTGCAAATTTTGAATCCAAACCAGCCAGCAATAGTCAAGACTCGTCTGTCTTGTGTCCTAGGAAAAAGACTCATAAAAAATACCCCATCTTTCTCCCTCTACAGTTAGAAAGAGAAGAAAAAAGAAAAGTTCAATGGCATCGATGGACTGTTTTTCATCCAAAAATACCAGTAATGGAGTCTAGCGGAAAAACCCACGTGGGAAAAAGCAAGAAAAATCCACATTGAAAAATCTAGAATGACAGTATCTTTCTAGTTTGACAATGCTTAGATATCTGTCCAATAAATGCTTCTAGTTGCACAACCATCTTTTTTATTTTCAGAATCCCCTATACACTACATTAAGTGACGGAAACTCGGCAAGGCTGACCTAGTACTGTAGGTAACTCATCTCTGCTACATGACCTAAATTATGCAAGAATGTTAAGTGTTAACCAATCAACTTCAGTTAACATAGTGTTCTATGTCGGTAAGCTTAACTTGTAGTTCATTCCAAATAAGCAGTTGACTGAGGGCAATATGGAAAAATAGGAAAGGTAATACTGATACAATCACCTGCCAAAGAGAAGAGAACAGCCGGCTTCGTGAAACCAATCGAGAAATTCAAAGGATTTGGGGGGTTTTGGAGTGAAGTTTCAACAGAAATCGATTTGGGGATTTTTTTTTTTTTTTATTTCAGGGATTTGGGGGTTTTAATTAAATTGGGAAAAGATAAAACCCTACACTACATGAAAGATCAATAATCGCCTAGTCGCTGCCCCGCTGGTCCAGTTGGAGTTGAAGTGTTGGAAGTCGGAGGCCGGCGTCGTACTGGTCGTCCGGTCGTAGGCGGAGCAGTGACTCGGATTGCAGGAGGGAAAGGGATGAAAATAATGTTTCCTTTTCGACTTTCACTTCATTAATTTAAAAAAAAATGAGGCCCCCATCCGGTTTGGGCCTGAGGCGGAGGCCTCATGGGCCTCGCCACAGGACCGGCCCTGGGTTTACGTCACGTACCTCAACCCTAAGTTAGGAACTACTCTTAGACATAAAAAGTTTTGGGTTAACTCCAGTTCTAGGTAATCACAACCATTGAATATTACGGAGCAACTGAGGCGAGATTGCGAATGGTCAACACGAGCATTAAATCCATGTAGGCCATCAACCTAGAAATGCACAAATAGGCTCAGTAGTGCATGCAAAAAACTGATATAATCATGGTGTATCCCCTCAACATAGCATACGTTAGCCGCAACAAATAATGAGAAATATCTCAAATAATATCATATGTAAATTTCCAGCTCAATAATAAAATAAAACACAATAAGTTCTAGATTTAATATGAATAATAAAATTGAAAATGTGGACTATCTTTAGGCAAAGTCTAAGAGTACAAGGACAATAAAATTGTAAAAGGTTCGCAATGGAAATAGGGCAAGCTATCCCCTTCATGGTGGCAAAAGTCATTATTTAAATACATATGGATAAATCTAGAAAGCATAACTTCTAAACCAATGAATAACATGTGAATAGATAATAAAATTAGTTACCAATCTACCACTAGATGTTCATCACCTATCATTGTTGTCGATTTTAACCCACAAGTGGATGGATCGTAACAAGTAGTAAATTTGACCTTTTGAGTCCGGATTATCGTTCCTACGAGAACTATACTTTTAATGCTCAATTTATTATTCCTAACTTATATTTGACGAAAATAAATAAAAATAATGATTGGATTTGATTTAAATCTACCTAACAAAATTTAATGCACACAATAAACGTTGAGAATTCAAATAATAAATGGATATTTTGGGGAAACAAATTCACCTATTGGTCACCTTTACTTCTAATATCGAGATTCATAAAATTAAAGTAGTGTTCAGTCGAATTCTTCTATGGTATTCAATTTACCCCTCTCAAGTTCTCATTGAGTCTATTTAAATAATTCAATTTCATATCTCTATGCGAATCAACATTATTTAAATGAAATAATAGTTCTAAGAATTCCTATAGGACCACAACAATTAATATAAGTATCTCTACTCTTTATATTAACTTACCGGATTTTAATATGTGGTCAAAACAAGAATCTGCATATCTACAAAATTATTGTTCACGAAATCATTGAATAATTGGCCAAAAAATTCAAAGCATTAATAACATAATTAAAATTCACACATAAAATATAAAAGAACGAGAATCTCAAATAAAAGAAATAAAGATTTTCAAATCAGATACATTGTTCGCCCTAAAACTAAATTTAACTACGCATGTTAATGGAGGAAAAAGAGAAATTATGGAAGACATCACTGAAAATTGACGGAACGTGAATAATTTGCAAAAGTAAATATGCTGATTTTCTACGTGTTGCCGTCTCTTTCCTCTCCGTGTGCTTCTTCTTTTTTTCAGTTTTTCGGCAACTCTAGACTTCTGCGTAATCCACCCTTTTAATTCCCAGTCTTACGTGTATATGTAGTCTTGGCAGCCGGAATGTTTGACTCCAAAAAGGAGTCCAATTTCTCTTCTTTTCTACCCTACAACAGCCGCCAATCTCCAATATTCAGCAACAGGAAATCTATGAAAATTATAATATTTGCTGCCCTCAATTTCCCTGTCTTCGGCCCCAAAGGAAGCTGCCAATATTCAGCAAATTGCACACCCTTAAATATGTGGGTAAATTATATAATAAGGCCCCCCCTCAATTTCCATGCATCTCTATGTATTCTGGTAGCCTAAATTGTGTGGAAAATATATTAAATTGGCTGCCCCCAAATTCTTCTCTCTTGTACGTATATATCTCTCTACAAAATAATAACCTAGCAGCCACCAATGTTAACTAACAAAAGGAACTTTTGTCTTCGTGGGTCAAGAAGTCCAATTAGCCACCAACTGCTAAAAAGAAACCCAATTCAAAGCCATTTTTTGTGTCCCTGCCGTGTGATATATATAAATCTAATGGGCCACCCCTTGAGTTGTTAAGCCCCATAGGATGTGTATTTCAATTGCCATTCAATTTTCAACCCAAGTAGAAGTCAAGCTGAGGCCCATTATAGTGGTGTTTGCTTTCACGTTTTCAATTTTCATTCGATGGCCAATTTAGTACCCCATACTTTGGATTTTGTCATTTTTTCCCCGTTCTTGCTTCTTTCCTTCAATTCTTTTTCATTCATAAAATTTCACCTATTAAACATGAAATACAAAAACTTAGAATATAATTTGTCAAAAGAACCATCAAATACCGCTATTTTCTAAAATAATTCAAAGTTCGCAAAAAAATCTATAAATATGCCCACCTAAGGGATGCAAGAGAAAGAAGAAAAGAGATCTCCCTCCTAAATAGTTATTTCTCTTCTTGTTCTTATTTGATCATCGAATTCAGATAGTTTAGGAGGAAATACTTGCTATGAGATAAAAATTTGTTGATTGTAATTTTATGGTCAACACCCATCAATTCCTATCACACAAGTTTATGTATTCTAATGAATTGGTTGTTCAATATAAGAATTACATATTATTTCAATTATGTAAATTGCATGATTATATTAAATAAGTATTCCTGTGCACATATCCGCCTATCAATTCCAATAGGGAAACTGCCACATTTTTGTTAATTATTGTTATGTATAGATTTTAATCACTAAACTGTGCATATTCAATTTGATAATTTCTCATAGCGTAAAATATATTATTTATTGTATTTGATTAGTATGTTAAATTTCTTGTTGCTCCATACGAAGTACAACATTTGAAACGACCCGTCCCGAATCACTCTAATGGGCCCGACACATGTCATGCGCCGATGGAAAATACTAGCTAAGTGCTGGACCCACCACAAAGGCGATCTTGACCTGCATTAACTGTGACAAATTTTTAAAAGAATTTTGACAGAGTTTTCTTTGAAATATGGACTAAAATGGCCTGAACAATGCTCAATTTTCTCAAACACGTACATATAATTTAAAATATGGTACACTAGCCCTTCAAAACACAACTATTCAAAATAAAGTGCACTGGAATGAAATTTACACTTCTATACAAATCTAAAGAATCCAAGTGCCCAACATATACAAAAATGCAGCAAACCCATGATATCGATATATTTTTCGACAAGAGATGCATATATTCCAATACATGAACTATATAAACTAACAAAACGAGCCATACAACTAATGATAATTGTGGCTCAACTTGCCAGATTAACAGGCTCCAACGCTACTCAACTCAGCTATTATATGATAAGAAAATGGACAAAATATATGAGTTTGTAACTCAGTGAATGGATATTTTACAATA